GGGAAGTTTTTGATGGGGGTAATCGGTCTGTTGCCTGTGACTGCAGAGGTTTAGGAGGCGGCATGATTGGCTTCTTCGTGCCACTTGCGATCTCCAATTTTCTCGTTTGAGGAGAAGAACGAGGAGATGGTGGATCCTCCATGGACAGTTTCTTCCCAGCTGGCCTGGTTCTTTTAGACTTAGACTTGGATTCATCTTCACCGCTGTGAACATGACCACGGCCACTACCACCACCACCTCCTTTTCTGATGCTGATACCTTCCTTCACTTGCTTGGTGAACTCGCGAGCACCGTGGTGGCTCCTCCGGCTCTTGTTCTCGTCCTGGTGCCCGCCGAAGTCGCGCAAGTGGCCGATCTCTTGCACACCCTTATTGGTGTTCTCCTTGTTGAGTCGCAGAGAAAACCTCGGATCAACGTCGCAGGACCAAGCTGACGAAACCCTCGGTGTCTCCGGCAAGGAGCGGGAGCCTGCGTCGACCGATCTGATTTGAGTCGACGCTGCAACGTTGCAGTTTAAGCTCCCGAGAGGCAGCCGGGGTGACCGCGACTCTCTCTTGGTACTCTGATCGCCACCACCATTCTTCTTCTTGTTTCGCACTCGAGACTGCGCTGGCGGCGTCCTCGGTGACGGAGAAGAGGCTTGCCCCGCGGAGGTCTCCAAGCCCATAAGGCGCGCGACGACGCCCGGAGTCCTCGGAGTGTCGGCCTGTGAGCTCCTCTTCTCCTCCTCCAACCACATCATCATCTTCTTGCTGCTCTTCGACAGTGAAGCTGAGGCTATTTCTATCCCGACCTGACAATAGTAACCAATCAAACGCTAAGGGAGAACAGAAAGAGAAGCCCGATCGTCTCGCTTGCAGACTCACAGGAACATCGTAAAGCTCATCTTCTATGGCCGAGGTCGAGGACGACGCTTTCCCCTCATCCAGCTCCAAGCTATTCCTGGGCGCCTCCAACCCTAAGTTGCATCCACAGGACAATCCAAGGTAAGTGATCTAGCTTGATAGGATGGAGATATGAGGGCTTCTCCTTATACCTGTCGCTTGTTGAGACGTAAGCTCGATTCGAGGAAGCAATGACAGCGACGGCGGCGACCCTGGTGGATTTCTACCGCTGCCGGAGTAGAGCAATTGATGAAAGTGTAGGTAGTGAAGCATTCCACCCATGCAACCAGAGTTACTCTCCTTGCTGTCTCCTTTAGGCGAAGCCGTCGTACTCCATTGCCACTCTCTCCCCATTCTCTCTCTCTTCTCTCTGTCACCCCGATCTATAACTCCTCTCAGAACGTGCCTGTAACTCCAGGGCACAACCTTTATGGTACCTGAAGGAATCAAAGCAGAAGAAAGAAAGAAAGAGGAGGAACAGCAGACGCAGAAGAAAGTAGATCGGCCGTGAAGGCCTCTCGATGGCACTCTCTCTCCAATCTCAACTCCTCTCAGAGCAGGAGAAGACAGGAGAAGCAGAGGAGAGGAACACAAAAATGCTTGTGAGCATGAGAGTCGCTCAAACACCGATCATTTCAAAAACACTGAAGACAGTGCTACGAACGCTGCAGGTGCCACCATCACGCAGCGGTCTGCCGCTCCATTAACATATCAGGTGGTTATATGCCATCACAACCAGATTCGTGTTGGGGAACGGGACGATCCCACCACGAGACGAAATGGATCGAGGGATCCACGTCGCAGCGCGCAAGGCTGCTGCAGCGGCGGTGAAAAAGAGGAGGTGGGTTTGCACTTTTGGAGGCACGCACATGGCGTGCATGGCAGCCATTAATGTGCGTTATTAATGCTGGTTTCAGCCCTACTGTATCCCTTCTATTTGAAATTTCAAAGGGCAGATTCCTCTCTCTCTCTCTCTCTCTATCTCTCATTCATCGTACATATAGAATACGTTTGATCTCATCTTCAATATTCATTGATGCATATATTTATATCATACGATATGCTTGATTTGAGATTGGTAGGTACGGAGGGAGCGATGTCACGATGACGCTCGTGACATGTCCGGAATTGGACAGTTCGTTAGGCCGACAATTGGAGTAACGTAGGAGTAGGTGCAGGTAAATCTCATCAAGTAACATAGTAAGTGTATTGTTCTTTTGCATCGAGATTCGCAACAATGTCACGTGTGAACCTGATCATTTCGTCAAGTACCACCATGATCAATATCTAATAGAAAGGTTAATAATTTGAACTATATATATATATATATATCAAATTTAGAGAGATAAATATGAAAATATCAAAATTAGATGATTGCTTATTAGTAGAATAATGATGATTAAATTAATTCCATATAAAACTAATTCCGTTGTATTATTACAACAATAAAATCACTAAGATCCCCCATGGTAGGGAATTTTTCTTTGTGGTGACCTGATTTAGATAACGGTGAAGTAATGATTAGCGTATGAAGAAAAGGAAAAATATAGTTTCTTTTTTTAAACATGTAAGGTGAATTTTGATGCCATAATAAGATGATTTATATATGATAAATAAAACTTATCCACTTGGGATAATAATTGACATACTTATTAAAATAATATGTACTCTAAGAGAGTATCGATACGTTGATTTCTTTGTAAGCATGCATAATTTGGGTGCTGAAACATAGCTTATCAATAATTACTCTTCATTAACGAATGACACAAGTCCATCTTTACTGCCAATATAAGCGACCTTAATAATTAAGTATTGTTTAAAGCTTTATCGCGCTTAAGTAATGAACATTGTCCACTGCTGTACAAGCAAAAACAGAATGCAGGATTGCCATCCAATCAAACGACGAACTTGTGGGCAACACACTGCGAGGCCCACTCATTTTATAGGTAAATAATCCTGCGTTGGGCTTTAGGCAGAGACAGGAGAACCCGCACTTGAAAGCTGATGAGCGTGAAACGTGTACGGCTACGATGCACCCGACTGTGGGTGTCGACCCACTTCGAGGGCACGCTCGTCATTAAGCCAAACGATGACGACCCCACGCCAACCCTCGCATCCGCTGCTCCCCCGTCTCACCATTACAAGTCAAATTTCCCGTCCTCGTTAGGCGTATTTGTTCCAGTAATCGAATGCCACGTAGGGGTCTTATCTATTCCGCAGATAACCAGACCGAATCGCCTGCCAAGTTATCACGACGAGCCCGTACATTTCCACGCATGGAATACCCAAACTTTTACCGTCTGATCTCCATCAGACGGCCATACCATCTTAGCGCCGTCATAATAGAGACACTTAATTCAACCCAACGGCCCATTGGCGGGCGCGCGCGCGCTCTCTGCCTCTCGCCTTCTACGACGTGAAGCACTTAACCGCCTTTCCGCCTCTGAATCTTGATCTTGAGAGGAAAGCGCAAAGGAATCGGAATCATCCCCGGGATATTGGAATTCTAGATTTGAATCAAGAAAGAAGGATCGGGGTCGGCTGTGGCCGCGGGATGTGGGCTGGTGATCCGAATCGCCGATGATTGGATTCCTGACGGGCGGCGATGATGGTGATTATTTGGAGGAATGCGAGACTGGAGAAACGTAAGGCCGCCGCGCCAAGGAAGCTCCACGGGGCAGTGGAGGTCGAGACAGGTTGGCAGGTGTTCCCCCTGCCCGCGCCGCCGACGCTGATGTCGTCGGTGGGGACGCGACGGTCGACGAGGGTGTTAATCCCCAAAATCTCCTCAGTGGCCAGGGTTGGCGACGGCGTCTCTAGCGTCCTCGGATCTCCGAAGACGCTTGCCGTACGGAGGCACGGCGATACGTGGTTGGGGGTCTTTGGCGACGGTGGAGCCGAGGATCACCGGTGCGAGAAGAGAGAGAAAGGGGAAACGCGTGATCTTGGATGCTCGGATGGGTTGAACGAGCCTGGTGAGACCGCTGGGAAGACACCGGAGTCCGATGTTCCGGAGGACTCGTGCGATACTTGCCTAGGGAGGAAGTTTGGGATCGTTTATGGGCGTAGGAGGCAGAGGCAGCTCTCTGGTGGTGGGGCTTCGACATCTTCTTCTGTCGGGCATCGGGCTTCGGAGATAAAGAGAAGAAACGGGTTGGTTTTCGTGCGGAAAGGTTGCAGGAGGAAGTCAGATGTGCCGACTCTACACCAAGAAATTAAACGAGAGCCAGAGCTTGCGGAGACCTCGATTGAAAGAGGAATCATAAAAAGGGAGCTTAAAATTGCAGTCTCTGCTGGGAACTTTGCAAAGAAGAACGGCATCTTGGAAAATAGTTTGTGCACAAACATCAATGATCGTATGGTGCTGACGCTGTTCGTGGAATCCTCTTGTGCCAGTAGTTCACTCTGTTTCCCAAGATTTCTGATCACCGCACTCAAATGGATGAGGAGGTCCACGGTGACAGTCCAGGAATTTGCTGCATTCTTATTATCTGGATCGTTAGCTACCGTCTTTTCTCGGCAGGGAGTTCATGTATTACCACTCAGGTGGCAGAAGAATGTAAGCATGTGTTTGAACGGCATTTTCTGCTTTTGTGTTAATTTTTCTATAATGTCTAAATGCTGGATGCTGTTCTTCAGAATGTTGTTTTTTCAGGCGTTCTGCATTGTTGTGGGCTATGCAAGATTTATGGTGCTAGACAGTCTGTTCCACTGCTACTGCTTGATTTTTCGGCGCTTCCAATTTACTTTAGGAGCTTGCATGTCAGTATGCTTCTTGGGTCACTTTATTTACCTCGTGTTCTTACAAGATACTTAATGTGCTTGTCTGGGGCTGTCAATTATGAAGAAAATGATTCATGTGTTCTTGTGGAGGCAGGTAATTTGGGAACTGAACTTTCTATGGTTCCTGTTACAGTGAGGCATGAACAAAATGATACAATTGATGCCTGCAAATCAGCAATAGAAAATGCAACTAATTTGCTCGGTTCAGGGCTAAGCAAGTGTTGCGGAAGGAGAAGTTTCTCAGGAGGTTGGAACTTGTCTGGGGCTGTCAATTATGAAGAAAATGATTCATGTGTTCTTGTGGAGGCAGGTAATTTGGGAATTGAACTTTCTATGGTTCCTGTTACAGTGAGGCATGAACAAAATGATACAATTGATGCCTGCAAATCAACAATAGAAAATGCAACTAATCTCGGTTCAGGGCTAAGCAAGCGTTGCGGAAGGAGAAGTTTCTCAGGAGGTTGGAACTTGTCTGGGGCTGTCAATTATGAAGAAAATGATTCATGTGTTCTTGTGGAGGCTGGTAATTTGGAAACTGAACTTTCTATGGTTCCTGTAACAATGAGGCATGAACAAAATGATACCATTGATGCCTGTAAATCAGCAATAGAAAATGCAACTAATTTGCTCGGTTCAGGGCTAAACAAGCATTGCGGAAGAAGAAGTTTCTCAGGAAGTTGGAGCCTGTTGAGTTCAAATGCTGATGCATTGTTACCATTGCACTCCAATCAGTGTGGTGCTAGTGGTTTATCAGAAGCTAAAGCAAGTTTCCATGCTGAATTCATGGCAAAGCCAATTTGTCCTGAGATGTCTGATGCCTGTACTGAGAAGGTGCTCAGTTCCAAATATGAGAGTGATGTCTCGACTCTTTTCAGTTCCCATCGGAAGCAGAGGAAGTTAGCTAACAAGGAGCTGAAGTCTGCATTGGCTGAGGTGAAGAAGAACATAGACACCTCACGCTGCAATGCAAATGTCTTGGTTGTTGATGCTGACAGGTGTTGGAGGGAGGAAGGCTTTGAAGTTTTGTTGGACGCGTTGCCCTCTAAGGAATGGCGTATAGCAGTCAAGTCACAGGGTGAAACAAAGTACCTGCACAAACCTCTGAATATGAGACGTTGTGTCGTCAATCGTTTCACGCATACCTATATTTGGGCTGCTGAAGATAGGTGGAAGCTCGAGTTTCTGGATAGGTGGGATTGGCTTGTGTTTAAGGAATTGCATGAGGAATGCCAGCAGCGCAACCTGCAGGAAGATTCCTCCAGGACAATTTCGGTGCCTGTGTACAGGGAGGTTTCTGGCTATGCCGATGGTTCTCGATCAACTTTTATACGCCCTGATTATTATATCAGAACTGAGGATGATGAGATCCAGCGAGCTCTATCAAGTAAAATTGCTCGGTATGATATGGATTCCGGGGATGAGAAGTGGCTCACTGATCATAACTCTGGAATTCTGCATCCGGGCCTTGGTGAACTAAAAAATATTTCAGCGGACGACTTTGATAAAATAATTTATGCAATGGAGAAGGGTGCTTACAGCAATGTGGATCATGTGTTTGATAAGGAAAAGGCATTCAAATTTTGTCAGGATTTAGGAAAGAGGGAGATATTGGGTGCCATTTATGACTACTGGGAAAAAAAGAGAAACAAGAAACAGACAGCTTTAGTTAGAGAATTTCAGGTATTAATAATTGTTAGTTTTTATTTTTCTTCCTCCTTCGTAATATTGCTAGCCTCAAAATTAATTACAGAATTGTGTTGGGTACACATGCTTTTATATCTTTGCACTAATTTTATGGTATTTGCTAGCAGCTAATTGTTGTGTATTTCTTTTTGTGCATTTCAAATCACTTCCTTATATTTTATGTCAAGAGTGGGTAACTCTTGTCAATTCTGTAGAATAGAATTGTCTGAATGTCGAAGATATTGATGTCTTTACTGCAGTTGCATTAATTGTTAGATAAAATTTTAATCTCTTTTGTGAGAGCTTTTTGGATTAATTTGTTGCATCACCCATCCTTCTATTCCTTCCATGTGGTGGACTTTCTTTTTCCTTTTACACTTGATGACGGGTTCCAGTTCAGGATGGTGTGTGCTATGCCATGACTTGATAGCATATTTGCGAAGTGCTTGGAAAAAGCTTTAACCCTATTATTCAAAATACTTAAGCCAACTTATTAGTATAAAACCCACATATATATATATATATTTTATATATATATATATATATATATATATATATATATATATATATTGTATATAAAGATAATACTTGTAAACTTGAAAATCAGGTTAAGCAATCCTAAGATAATATAGCAATAATAAATATTACTTATAATCTTGCAACATCTTAGTTTAGCCTCACATAAGCCTAAAGACTTAGATTAACCCATGGTTAACTTGAGCCTATGTATTTTGGATTAGTGGTTTAAATTCAACAAAGCTAATAAATTAATTCTCTTATCAAATAGGGTCATCCCAATTAATATCTGAGTTAATCTAGTATTAGGTACTGTGAGAGTCTCGATTAAGAAAATGCTATCAACTATACTGTTTAGTGGGGCCAAGCCCTTAAATGTAAAAGATTATGATATTTAAGTTTAGTCTGAGGAGTATTTAAAGACTTATATTGATATATAAGGTCTAATAAGTACATTATTATTTATTTAGATTTAAGCATTTTGGGTCAGTACTGCAATATGTGAAAATAGATCAATATTTCATCAAAAAAATTAGATAATAGATAAATTTGTATATCTCATATTTTATTCTTAGATGATACTTACACGAAAGGTTTCTAAAGAAAGTATTCCATAAATTACTTAGACATACTTGTTTGTAAGATATATTTACATCCATAAAGTTATATTGATATAGCCTTATTCCTAAATAGTTGTCTTTGCATTTCTAGGATTTACCTATATAATTGTATTCCTAAAATATAGGATTATTATTGTAGGAAAGTTATATTTATTTTATTTTTTAAAATAATATTTACAATAGATGTTTAGGAAGACGTATGTCTAAACCCAAGCATTGGGTGACTCATGCATGTGCTCAATCCAAATAAAGCATGGGTTTAATTGGATTTTGATTGGATTCAAATAATTGGAATTAGTTGGCACCACCTTATCACAAGCCTCCTCGGGCCTACATTTTTATCTGTAGCATTTTTCTTTTGCTTTCATCGTTGATCACGAGACTCCTCCGTCCTACACCATTATGTGCAATATCTTTCTTAAGCTTACATCATCAATCATGAGTCTCTTTCTCTATATATCGTCATGTAAAGCTTTGTTTCTCTGTTCTTATAGTATACACCATCGTGTGAACCTTGCTTTAGTCGGAGAACCTTACTTTCCTCCATCGTGTGCCCATGCTCCATGGCCTTTTGCCAATTGGTTACTTCACCATCTTCTATTTCTCAGTCTATAGGTAACAATAACATCTTTGTTAAATGATCTCTTATTTTTAGCGCTAGCTTGAGCACATTGTTAAATGATTTTTTTTTCTTGACTTTGTTAAATTATTAGAAATTTATGAACACTGTTAGATGGGTAGGAGTTACGACATAATAATACACTGTTAGTTAGATAATAGGGATATCTTATTTCACTCATTTAATATATATTTTTTTAAATTTTAAATAAATAATAAATATATTTTTAATTTTATATTCAAGAGCATTTCACTTTCGCTTGGGTGAACACTTGCCTTAGGCATTTTGGCATATAGTGTTTTTAAAAATACTGTTTTGGGATATAAATACTTCTTACATATTTGTAAATTCATTAAGAATTTAATCATTCTACAGTGGTCATATAAGTTAATATGATGGTTGCTTAAAAAAAGTTACTGTTATCTTTTATTAATATTGTAGCAAACTCTTTTGTTTTAATATAATTGTTTGATTTGGTAACCTTTATATGCATTCTGAACAGTCTCCGCCTTTGCTGAGGTCACTGTTGGTGCATACACCGTTTCTGCGTAAAAAGAGATCTTTCAAGAGATAGTGGAGCCAGACACCAAGAACAACGCCAGAGGTCATTTCACAAGGTTTGTTTTCCTATTCCCAAAATTGTTTGTTTTCCTCTCCTGTAACCTGCTGTGAAATTCATTGGGAGATATAGAGCATTGATATGGAATTCAGATGTGTGTAAAAAATATGGTTCGAAGCCTGAAGTTTGGTGTCCAACCCTTCTTTTGGTTTTTTAATTATTGTAATTTTGGTTATAATAAAGTGCTTTGTCTCATGGATGAGGAAAGGCTTTGAGATAACAAAGTTCCTAAAAGAAATCTTGATCATTTAGGTTTATTCAGCGTTAGAAATTTTTTATGGTTTTATTTTAGTAGATGTATTTCTGATTATTTGTGTGTTTGACTTTGACTTTGCCCTTTATAGTAGAACTTGTCACAGCCCTTATTCTGGATAGTTTCTTCTATATATATATATATATATATATATATATGTGGATCTCATATAGTTGTCACTTTGGTATGAAAGCTAAAAGCCAATGAATATGGTACATTGGTGATTGGACATACTTATAATCCATACTTGCCTCGTAAGTTACAGGGTCTGGTTCTCGACTTCATGTTGCAGCCTATTGTGAAGGTTTTATTGAACTTTCATGGATCCTTTTTGGATTGTGTTCTACAGCCAACACCCTTTTAGTTAGGAAGAGGCTTGGTGCCATATGTAGTTTGAAGGATTCAGGTGCAAGTACCTCTTTTTGATGTTTAAAAATCATGCACTCTTTTGATGTTCTGACACTAAATATTGAGTCTGAAAAGTCTGATCTATTAAGTTCTGAAAAACTTCCTGTTTGTTGCTTTTGAAAGTGACAGACCAGCTTCTGTTCTATGAAGTGTCTTGTTCAGGTATTCATATACCAGGAATTTAGATATAGCGTTTTTAGGCAACCTTGTCAACAGAACTTTCTATGGTATAAGCTGCGAACATGCTTCCTTGATTACTCTCTCTATGGAACCAAGTACGCATTCAGCCAAAAATAGGTTTTCCTGAGTTTCTTGTTTCTAGCAGCTTGACAAGTCTGAGACAAGGCTAAACGAGCTTTATTCAACTTCTTTAGACAAGTCTGAGAACTTCTCTATGGAACCAACTAAAATGATGTAAGAAGAGAGAACAATAGCAAAGTAATATAGGTTTGGTGTAAGAACCAAATAGTGTACAGTATTGTACAGTACTACATTTCTTCAGTCATATGGATTGTGATCCTTCCTGACTTGTCCTTTTTCGTTATTTCCTAGCTTGTCTCTGGAAGGATAATTGTAGAAAAGCTGTTCACTTTCTTTAGATGTGTGATCCTCCATGAAAGCTTACATGACAGGATTCAAGACTGGCCTCTCTCTCTCTCTCTCTCTACTTATT